TAATAGGCAACTTTTGTTTAGGTTAAAAGCTTCAGGTAAAGATAGATGCCCTTCAACATAATTCTTGTTGTATTTATACAACTGGGGCAATCTCGTACTTCTGAACTCAATTCTTAATGCAGTATGTACGCACATATTTTTCAGACATCCAACATGTAAAGTAACCGAGATACTTGAAGTATAATTTTCTGTCTGCTACTGCATTTCTTCATGTAAGATCTATTTTTCCATTATGAATTCACCGAAATTATCAATCTAGTGACTTCTCATTTTATTCATTAGTCTCGATATCTAGTTATATATTAATTTTAGCTTAGATCTTTCGCACTCTAAAGAATAGTTATTAATAATAACACTAACAAACATTTGCTATATCTATTATCAATAGATCAAATGTGCTTCATCTTGAAATTGATAAATAGAATTTAATATTAAACGGTAATGACAACGAACATTTTTTATTGAAATATTAATTGAATATTCAAAGATTCTCTGTCTATGAAATAAAGAATTGGTGAAATATTATAATACGTTACAAAACTCTTTTGGTTCAGAAATTCTCTTGCCATAAAACTAGTTTATTATTTTCACTGTTTTATTTAAAGATTCTATTACAGTTTTGTCAATTTTTGAAAAACCTGTATTATCTTTTTTTTTTGACAATGCTTAGACTCAGCTGTTTTCTAATCAGTGAAAAAAAACAATATAGCACAAGATATGTTGAAAGATTTTTGTGCTATCGAAAATTTTTATTGAAAATGACTAGTAATGATTACTTATTGATTGGCTGTTCTACATTATAGCAGAGCTGAGTAAATACAAACCATTTTCGAGTACGAATGCGAATATAAGTACAGCGAAAATTGCACTCAAGAACGAGAGTTTCAAGTGAGATTACTTCGAAATATATGTTCAATCTCGTTACACCATAATTGTTGAATATCAATGAGTGCACTGTTACATAAGAGCAAGGATGGAAGAAATCAGCTATTTGCTTCATCATCGAAAGAGAAAAATAGGTACCTGATACCACTTGAATACAACACATTTTGTCTATAAGGACGAAAGTAGATAAGACCATTTTTCTGCCCCGGATTGTGCCATTTTTTTTTTATGTGTTGAAATCAATTCAGCAATGACACTCGATAACATTGCGAAAGTTTATTTCACGATGCCTCTCGATCAATTTTTCAAGGTACACCCGTATTCCTCCACGAGGTCAATAAAACCTTGACTATTCTTCTAGGGATACGGGTGTGACTTGAAAACTTGATCGAAAGGCATCGCGAAACAAACCGTTGAAATCATATGAGGAGTCAGTACTAGATCGATTTCAAGATAAGAACTGAAATATTTTGGGGGCGAACACACTGCCTTATCCGTCTTCATCTTTTAGAGTACTTGATATTCGAGTACGTGTACGAGCACCAGCTTTCTCGAGTTTGATTATGAGTACTTTGAGTATTTTTCTCAGCTGTACATTGTAGAGGATGCTTTCTGCTGAAAAAATGACTTGATGCAAAAATAGATAATAATAAAGTGGAAGTTAAGTTGATGAATAAAATTATAAAATTACATGAATTTATAGATTCGACCATTACTTNACCAAAAGATGCAGCAGATTCTGCTCTTTCTTTTGGTAGGTGACTTCGAAAGAAAAGACCAAACTATGGTTGAGAAAAAAGAAGAATACAAAGGGGGTAAATTCTATTGAGCTGCACTGTAATTTGGATGCATGGGGAAAAGATGACGATATTTGTCTTTTTATCTATGTACAACGTGTACGAGAATACGATTGAGACAACAATAAAGTAGGCTTTCATCAATACGAAACGACTAAACCATACCTTAGTAACGATCAAGAAAAGATGGATTGTTGGATCGAATTTTTTTCCAACACCCTGGCTGCAACCATGTTCCATTATTCAAATTCTGACATTTTCCTGTTTCGCATCCTACTGTCAATATTCGTCAAGATCTAGATATTGCAGAGATCACTAATCAATTCATTGACACGATACCAGAACGTTTATCGAATCTAAGGCTTTTCCATGTTGGACACAAAGAGATGTTATCAAATGAATCAATTGTTAGAATAGAACCAAACTCTCATTGCATATACTTCTTTAATAATAAAGAAAAACGCAGAATGCCAAATTTTGACGAAGAATACGTTAGGCTTCGGGCGAGTTCGATCTAGAAAAGATCGAATCTCGACTTAACATACGCTACGTCAAGTTTTTATAGATGTAGATGTGAGAGCGAATTTTCTTTTCTTCAACAATCCCAAACATGCACATCTATCAATATAGATCAGTTACACACAGCATTACTCTAGTACTCAATACTTATTTACTCTGACAATTTCTGACTACTCATGGATTTCTTTTCTATATCACAACTTAAAATTCTCTTTGGTTAAAATTCGTTCAGATCATTAGACTGTTGTTGTAAGAAAATTTCTTGAACTTTTCACTATGTTTGGGTCTTTACTGCTGCTTTGATTATAAGATGATTATTGGTTTTATTGAAAGAAAAAAGAGGCAAAAGCGTACTCATAAATTTTGCGATAGTATGATACGATATATTATGTTATCCAAGCGTTTATACTCGTGGTGCATAATGTATTTGATGGATTTTGTTGCTTTGTTAGAGTTTATTTGGCCACTGCAGCCTTGATTGCTGTTATGGCGCATTGTGGCATGCCTTGCACGCCACCAGCAATGCTGTTGCTATTAGAACTGAGCGTAAATTGAAAACTAACAATGGTGACAGTAAACGAAGCCGTGTATCCAGTCGGATAGATTATTGATGTAGAAAGCACAGTTTGAAAGAAACATTGGCCAGCTATGCTCGATTGAATGGAGAGCATGGTCGGGGACGAACGTGTCAGCACAATTTGACCCGTTGGACAACAGCAAGTCCATGTGTTGCAACCTGGATTGGGTATGTATGTACCTTCCCAAATTGGCATTGTAGTTGTTGTCACTAGGCAAAGGAAAAGTTGCGACTTTCCGAGTAAATATATGATCACGTTTAATTAAGGAAAAAATGCGATTGGTGAGTACAGAAACGGATTATTTACACACTTTCATAGAATGCGCTACATAAAAAGAAATGTTGATTGACATCTTTCATCAGCAAAAAGAAAAGCCTCAATCTGTTCATGCTGAACATTGCCGCTCATTGACAATAATTGTCTCTGGTGTCCAGTTTTCCAGTTTTTCATCCGTTTTTTAAACTGTTTTGCTTATGCAGTACATAGTCTCGGTAATTGTTTTTACCTTCTAAGGCAGTGTGTCAGCAGAAAGAGCATTTAAGAATAGACTATATTCCATTTCGATATAAAAGAAGGATGGGTGTTTTCGAAATAACTTTTGATAGAAACAAGATGGACATTTACGGTTTTCCCTGTCTAAATGATGAGGTGAAACTGTATCAAATCATATAGACCAGATTTTTCTGAAAACGTTTCTCGGGATCTGGCATCAAGTTTATTAAAAAGGAAGCATAGCGTAATGTAAAAGTTTTCGAATTCTAATTTTTAGAAATTTACTAGAATCTTTCACTAAAGATCCGTAAATTATGTTAGTCCGATGTTGCGGCATTCAGTCAATCATGGGTTACAAACATTTTGCTTCGCATTATCGGGATATTTTTCAGAAAAAATTGTCGTTTTTGAGGAACTGACATATTTTCGAAGAAAATAGCGAGTGTAAGTTTTAAGTTCAAGTTTCGCGGCTCCCTTCCCCTCCCTCCTCCGTACCCCCTTCGTTACAGACGCTCTGCAATCGAAGCCACCATTGCAAACATTCTTCGCCTCATTACAAACTTGAGCAATGGATAACAGCAGATATCAGATTTTCTAGTTTTTTGCAAAATTGTCAACATCATTGTTTGTGAGTAGATTAATATATATAATAGAGCGTAAAATCTGCCGTAGATATCATGGATATGTAAAATAGACTTATTTGCCGATTAATTCAATGCTTATAATAATGAGAAAATTAAACTAAAAAAACACGAGTTAGTAAAAATGAAAAGTAATGAGCGAATATCAATAATGCAAACAAAAATAGGGTACCCAAAAACAAACAATTTCTCTTTGAAATACAGCGAAATAATTGAGACAAATCTTTAATTTGCTGATTGATTATCTTCGAATGCAAGTATAATCTATGAAGGATTTTTCACTTCATCTATTTTGTAGTACTTTAATAAGACTAAAGAATATATGTGAGTTTCACATTTCAGCCTCAAAGAGGCTGCGCTAACAAAATTTTTTTCGGATTCTTTGACGAAAAATCCACTCTAAAGACCTATTTAAAGGCATCGACTTTTTTAGAAATCTTCATGAGAGACTCGGAAAAAACTGGTCAGAAAAAATGATCTTTACGAATCGATGCGGTTTCATCTACTATTTTAAATGATGAAAATCGTAGATCTCTATTTGGTTCCTATCAACAACTACTCCTATAATACTCAATCTTCATTTATTTTGGAATGGATAATAGTTATGATCTTCATGGAGTATTAGTGTGGCTGTGGTTGTGAATGTGCGAGAGTCTTCTCTTCACTTATATCGACATTCACACCGACATCTGCATCCGCTCACTGATTTATTCCTTAATAAAAAACAAATATCATGGTTTAGTGTCATACTCATTGGATTATATTATCATGACAAAAGTTGTGCTTTCTAGCTCTAGACGTGGATTTAATGTATTAAGGCGGTTTTCCAATTCTTTTTTTTTCACTTAGACTTCGTCTCAAATAAAATATCCCATCAAGTTCTGTTGTTTTTCTAAAGAGCAGAAAGTGGATAGATGATGTCGTAGTAAAACACATGGGCACAAGATATATCAAAATGGTTGAGAACCATGAGCAACTGCAATAGAACTATTCGAAATTCAGACGAGTTCTCTGCGTCGCGTTCGAGCGTCTATAATTTCTTGACATCGAAAACCATTAGTCAGCAAGGGAAATAGCTTAGTTTCTGAATGCAGACAGTTTCTGCGTGTAAGAACGTATCTGGGTTGGATTACTTTTCTATTTCTTGTTACGTGTCTAAGCATAATAGACTCTACAAGTCAGGTTGCTATGGTATCGAGCAAAACATTCTCTACCATGATTATTTCTTTCCCTGAAAAATCCAAAAAAGTGAAACATTTTGCCAAAGAACGATCTCTAATTTTCATGACTTTATCGTTCATATCTGATGGCCTGTTTGTTTGTTTGTGATTCTATCGTAATTTTCTCTAATAATTTCAAAATATTATCATAATACTCACTGGTATACTATGACCAACAGTGAATACGAATCCCGCAGCAAGAGAACTTTCGGTCTAAAATGCTCACAAATAAACAGTGCTGCGAGAAAAAACACGAATAGTAATATGTTGAAAAGCAACCATTTAGTCATATGATTTAAAAATAACGAAAAGCTTGTTATCGAGGTTCATGGATGGCAGTATATTTCTACCGTCAAAATATAACTAAGCGATCCTCAGCGGCATCGCTAGAAATTTTGAACTCTTTACGCTACTAGGACATACTTCATGTAGTGATGGCCAGAAGTGGAATGGTGCATTCATCTTGGATTTAATTTCGCAACCTAAAGTTTATTAAGTTACAAATGAACAATTAACCTAAAACTTTTCTATTTACCAGTCAATAGCTACTTTGAGAATTTTCTCTTAGTTGGAAATTAAATAGCTCTAAGTTACTGAATTACTCGCAAATAGCTCACTCGCATGCCACCAAGTTACCATTAAACAGATAAATTTTAGTTAACGAGTGACAGCAAATGAATAATTTTGAATTACGAAGTTTTTTGTAGTTTAGTAGCTTGAAAGTCAGATTGTTATTAGAAACTAGGGAATTTACAGAAACTAAATTACTAATAACTAATAGAGAAAACTTATTTATTATTTGTAACTAGGCAACTTCTGAGCTATTTAGTTATTGTGAAATATTCCAGTTCGAAGTTACCGAGTTACTAGTAAATCAAATGTAAGTACCACGTTCAGGTATAAAAAACCCAGTGAAAAACTAGTTATTTTTCTTTTACCTGTTGTAGACATCAATATAGTTGTGATTGTAGTTGTTGCTGTGATAGTGGTAGTTTGCGTTGTATTGCTACCTGTACTTGAGCTTTCGGCTGTGGTTGTTGTGGTCGAGGTCACGTCTGCGTTTATAATAATCGTTGCCGTGGTTGTCGTGCTGGCTGTGGTGATCGCGGCTATGGCTGCGGTTGTTGTAGTCGATGTTACTTCTGTTGTTGTTGTAATTATTGTCATGGTTGTCGCGATAGTTGTTGTGGTCGAGGCCACGGCTGTGGTTGTTGTAATTGTTGTCGTGGTTGTCGCGGTGGTTGTTGTAATTGTTGTCGTGGTTGTCGCGGTGGTTGTTGTGGTCGAGGTCATGGCTGTGGTTGTTGTAGTCGAGGTTATGGCTGCGGTTGTTGTAATTGTTGTTGTTGTGGTCGAGCTCATGGCTGTGGTTGTTGTAATTGTTGTCGCGGTTGTGGCGGTGGTTGTTGTGGTCGAGGTCATGGCTGTGGTTGTTGTAGTCGAGGTTATGGCTGTGGTTGTTGTAATTGTTGTTGTTGTGGTCGAGGTCATGGCTGTGGTTGTTGTAGTCGAGGTCATGGCTGTGGTTGTTGTAATTGTTGTCGTGGTTGTGGCGGTGGTTGTTGTGGTCGAGGTCATGGCTGTGGTTGTTGTAGTCGAGGTCATGGCTGTTGTTGTTGTAATTGTTGTCGTGGTTGTGGCGGTGGTTGTTGTGGTCGAGGTCATGGCTGTGGCTGTTGTAGTCGAGGTTATGGCTGTGGTTGTTGTAATTGTTGCTGTTGTGATCGAGCTCATGGCTGTGGTTGTTGTACTTGTTGTCGTGGTTGTGGCGGTGGTTGTTGTGGTCGAGGTCATGGCTGTGGTTGTTGTAGTCGAGGTCATGGCTGTGGTTGTTGTAATTGTTGTCGTGGTTGTTGCGGTGGTTGTTGTGGTCGAGGTCATGGCTGCGGTTGTTGTAGTCGAGGTTATGGCTGAGGTTGTTGTGCTGGTCATCTTAGTCGTCGTGGTGGTTATTGCTGCGATCTCTGTGTACGTTACGGAGGTAGTTGTTACGGTTGTGTGGGTGGTTGCGATGCCCGGAGTTGTCGTAGTCACTATTGTTGTTGTCATTAGGATTGAGGCTTTGAAAGAGAAACAGAGGTAGAATGAATAGGGATGTCAGGTGCAAAGGGTGTTGGATGGAGGATACCTGAAGTCTGATCCGAATGCTTGCTCTGTCGGCTGAAATAAATACTTGGGACGAGAACCGCGGCCAGAATGCCAAAAGACAATGATACTAACAAGATTTTGTGAAATCTACGAGAACAAGTCTATGTGCAAGTTGAAAGGAATAAGGAAGATACATACGGTATCATTGTGATTGTGTCAGTTAAACAGGAGCTTGCTTGGTGATTTTGGAAACTACTTCAAGAAAAGAATACGTAGTTTTAGTGCGAGCAGAGTAGATGAAGTTTTTGTGCGTATATGATCTGAAAATTTTAATTGTAGATGACTTCGATACTATTGGTAGCAATGGCAAAGTTTGCTGTATTAATGAATACTCGTTGCTATTGTTTTGTAACACAATTGGTCGGTTAATAGTTTCTCGTTAAAAGTAGATCTTGTAGCGAAAATTGTCGTCAAGGAATTCGCAATATTTGTTCGCGATTTGTGCGAAAGTCGATTAGCAACACGAGAAAAAATAACTGCATTAATTCTTTCCTGATCGCACACGATCGAGACGAAGAATGAGGTGAGGCTGTGGTTGTCGGTATTTCTGCGGATGTGAGTAAAGACAATAGGCACACTTACACAGACAGTCTCTCTTTCGAAGAGTAGTCTTAGTGACGTTAGAAAAATATAATGACCTGATGCCAGGTACAAGATGAAGTGAACAGAATCCAAATTCGAACTGTACTCTGACTTTTCATTTGAAACGGATACGATGGGGCAAAGAACAGAGGACGAGGTAAGATACAATGGTAAACTGCTTCAACAGCATTGAGGAATTTCATGAATTTCAGTCGACAGAGCTTAATGAACTGTGCTTGTAGCGAAACTTTAAAACCAAAATGAGATCATAATGAAAAGATATTTATTTACGAATTGTCTTGTTTTCTGATGTTTCGAGTAATATGACAAATTATGTGCCTTACCAATGGTCATCCGAATAAAAATCAAAGGCAAGTAGTCTATTTTTTAAAGGTTGAAAAAGTCCAGAAATCATTCTATTCAAGCTTGCAGAAAAATGTTTCGGTTATAATGCAGAGCACCACTACTTCGAAGTATTGAATGTAAATTGTGGACTTACAGATAAAATATTGGATGCATCTCTATCTCACGCGTAAAATACTCTCTGAGAATTTGGTATATAGCGTATCAACTTCCCATTTTAATGTCCAACGCAGGTCTTAAGGTCCCTCCTGATTATGAAGGAACTTTTTTCTACAACTATTTTCAAAATGGTTATACTAGTGCTTTCGAAACCGTGTCTATCAAGTAAGCTAAGGAATAGGTTATCTGTTTGATCAACTTTTTGAAAAAGTAGCTAGTGTTCATTCCAGAGACAGTCAGTGTGTGGTTTCTGAAAATTGTCAATCTTGTCCTTAATTGCATACGAAAGAGAGTGCCTTTTGCACTGAGATCATGCCCTAGTGTTAATCTAGAACATCTGATATGAATATTACATGGAAGTTCTGTATTTCTTCCAAAGAAATTTGTTATGCATGAACTATCGATATACATTTTGTCGAACAAAGTTGGTGTATCTGTTCCTATTCTTCAAAACCGAAGGAGCGTGGAATGTAAACCAAATCAAGGATGATATTCACGCCGATGAAACCACCTATTTTTGATCCATCACAAAGAAAGATATGCTTAAAAACGTTTTTCTTATTAAGACAAAGTCGAAAAGGCATGTATTTTTTCCTCAGATCTTATTTTGCCATTGTGATCAAAATTAGTTTTTTTCAACTTTTAATTACTCTAAAAATATATTTTTTGGAAAACTCAGTATATAAATATGACAGAACTTGAAATTCTGTGTCGTTCCATATATTTTTTGTTGTGTTTTGCATTCATGTGCTGAAAAATGATTTGAGTATTACATACGAGGCTCTTCATAGTTTTTCGAAGTGGGAGAAGCTAAATTTTTTTCGCAGACAGTGTGTAAAATTTTTCGCAGACATTGCTGAAAAGTCAAATGGGGAAGATGGAAGCGGCGAGGGCAAAAGGTTAGGAATTATTTTAAGCAGAGATGACATAAAATTTTTTCCAATGTCCAAATTGGGCAAAATTCTTTTTGCTCGGAATTTAATTTCGTACGAAATGTGGACTTCGGCAAACTTCACTAACTGGTACAGAATTAAACTCAATGTCTCAGAAAGAGACCATTTCTCGCCGATTGCTAAGAGTTATACTTTTTAAAATTTCCGAAAAAAGTCTTTCATATGCAATGCAGAGTCGTTTCCTAATATTGTTGCCACCGAAGGCGGCTACACTTATGATGATCAGTCGTTAGTGAAACGCTTGTTAAGCTTAATTTTAAAAATCGCAGTCGACTGTGATCTTGTTTCACAGAAAGACAACTGAGCTTGCCGTAAGAGGAAGGAAGGTTTACTAAAGCTTTGTTTCAGATTCGATGCAAGCTCTATTGTGTCTATGAGATTCGTCGAGGTTACAGACTGCGCGCAAGATTTGCGAGACCTAGACTGCTTACTAGATCTAGCAGAAGTCACAGATTTTCTGCCAGATTTCCCAAACCTATTCTGTTTTCTAAATCTGATAGAACCACAGATTGTCTGGGAAATACAGCAGAAACTATAGACTACCTGCGAAAAATATAGATATAGGCTGTCAGCAAGATTTACCAGACCTGCATTGTCTGCTAGATTTGATAGAACTGCTGACTGTGTGTCGGGTGCAGCAGAAACCACAGACAGACTGTAAGTTCTGACAGAAGTCAAAGACTATCTGCCAGACTTGCTAGTCATGTAGTTTCTGTTAGACATAATGGAACTGAAGACTATTTGGCAGATTCAGCGAAAACCATAAACAGCCTGCCAATTTTGCTAGGCGTGACAGAAGTCATTGACTGTCTGTCTGATTTGCCAGGCCTACGCTATCTGATATATCTGCTAATCAAGACTGTCTGCTGGATGTGCCAGAAGTCGAAGATTGCTTGAAAATTTGGCAGACAGTTAACCAGAAAATTTTCGCGGACACATAAAAACAGTGGGAGGGGCTAGCTCACCCCATCCCCTCCCACATCGAAAGCCACGATCACATAGACACTCGCCTTCACAAGCTCTAAAACAAAGTAGAACATTTTACTCTTTCTTTCGTCATTTGTTTCTAAAGTTCAGAACGATAGAATGTGCTAGACAGCATCAGGAGATATAATTACTTGTTCAAAAGATTATGTTTATACTCACAATAAAGTTGAAATGAAAAGCAAAGTGTCACTAGAAAATTCAATTTTTTTCGGCTTTCCTAAGGAGGTTATCTGAAGGGTGATCCAAAAGTCTTGGGCCCTCTCAGAAAAATTGTTCGTTCTTCCTTATAGTAAACTCAAAAATGCTCAAACTCTGGTATCTTATCCCTTGTAAGTAGGTGAATATTACCCCAAAGTTTCATGTCTCTACCCCTTATTATAAGGGAGATATATGGGCTAACATTGTTGAAATCTTATTTTTTTATGTCCAAAAAATAATGGTTGGCTCATAATACATGTACATGGGTCACTTTTGCGTTGCATTTTCCCACCACTTGATACGTTCTATTAAGAAAACAAAATATACCACAAGATGCAGCGCAAAAAGCTCTACAATCTACACAGTAAAGAGCATTTTAATTATGTAATTTTTGTTTTCAAAAAAAGAAAAACTCTGTACGATTAAGTTTGCCATTGCAAAAACTGATCGCGCAAAGTTTTGCTTTTTTTGCAAACAAAAATTACATAATTAAAATGCGCTTTACTGTGTAGGTTGTAGAGCTTTTCACGCTGCATCTTGTGGTATATTTTACTTTTTCTTAATAAAATGTATTAGGTCACAAAAAAGTGAAAGAAAAACGAATTTTTCCTTCTTGTAGAAAAAGAAGATTTTTTTACGACGGCGAAAATTGATTGCATAGAGTTTCGCTTTTTTTTTGGAATCAAAAACTATATAATTGAAATATACTTTACTGTGTAGATTGTAGAGCTTTTCATGCTGCATCTTGCGGTATATTTTGTTTACTTATCATGTGGTGGAAAAATGAAACGCAAAAGTGGCCCATTTATTATGCGCCAACCATTATTTTTAGGACATGGAAAAATAAGCTTTCTAGAATGTTAGCCTATATATCTCCCTTATAATAAGGGATAGAGACATGAAACTTTGGGGTAATATTCGCCTACTTACAAGGGATAAGATATTAGAGTTTGAGTATTTTTGAGTTTACTATAAGGGAGAACGAACAATTTTTCTGAGAGGGTCCATGACTTTTGGATCACCCTTTATGTAATGCTCTAATTATTATCCAGCACATATATGCACGACAGAAGAAATATATATAGGATGACAGAAAATTTTAAACTCCATCACAGTATATGTTTGTTTTTCTAAAAAAAAGTGTTTCTACAGTAATGAAAAATTGAAAAAATTAATTTTGATGACAGTCATAAAATAAAGTCCGTCAGAATGTGAGGATGAGAGTAATTTCATCGCACTCATTTTATTTTGATAATACATAAGTGCAAACTAATGCAAGACTGTTCAGATGGATTGTAAACTCTAAGCGTTTTTAAATTATGCGTTTATTTTTTGTAAAAATATGTTTTTATAGTGATGATATTTTTCAAATATAGACTGCAAATATTCATTTCGCGTGAGATAGAAACATGTTGAAACTCGTGGCCTTCCTTGTGGTATTGGTTTCAGCTGTGTCCATAGGCTATCAGATTTATACACTTATCTGGCAGTGTCGCTTTTGATACGAAGACTGCGTCGTACTAT